ATAAATAAAGGAACACACTAGAAATAAAGACAAAAGGCGCGTTACAGTCTGCAAGGCAGAATACTTTGCATCTCATGCCACAGGTGAAGAAAGAAGCTTCCTATAATATGTAGAGTTTCTAAAAAGATCAATAAAGGAAGATAAATGAGCAAGTGACTCTTGACTGCATAAAAACACCATCAAACTCATCAGAGAATTGCAAATTAAAGCTACAGACAGCAATTTTCACCTATGAGATTGGTAAAAATCCAACTGGTGGCGAGCACACTGATGCCACCTGAGGAGACGGGCTTTTCGCACCATGCCTGTAGGAGTGCAAATTGGCACAGCCCCTTCGGGAAGGCGACTTGGCAGCATCTATTAAAATTGAGAGAAATCCTCTACACACATGAGACTGGCTGACATACATCCAGAACAGGCAAGTGGACACAGACACTCATGGCGGCACGGTCTACGACAGCAGGAGTAAGTCATATATAGTGTCATGAAGGGCGAGCCAGACACAGGAAGACCCCTCCATGATGGGCTGCCTTATCCACATGCCTGTACACAGCTATTAGAAAAAAATGAGGACAATGAATACGGAGGATCCTGGGCAGGGAGAGGAGGAACTAAAAGACATGGTTGTGAGGCCTAAGAGCAATTGAGAGATTCCAGAGATCATCTACACAGCCCGTCACCTAGGGTTCACATCATAGTATGCTCCAAAATGCAAGAGGCAAAGCCTGGTAGCACTCACTTGTAATCTCAGTGTTAGGAGGCAAGAGGATTGCCAGGAATTAAAGATCAGCCTGGTGTATATAGCAAATTCCAGTCAGGCTAGCCTGGGCTAAAAACTCTTGCCATCAGGAAAGGAGGAAGAGGGGAACATCTTAGGGGTGACAGCTAAGTTTATGGCATCCCAAATGTTTACCTTCAACTCATCAAGATCTACACAGGAAATACACACAACTCTTGTGAAAGTCAATCAGACTTCACTTGTAATAAGAGTGAAATTGTCCTTCATCTATGAATAAGGAAATGTTTCCAAGATGTGCCAATAACTGGGGCTGGGGAAGCCTGGAGGACAAATAGGTGTCTCGGGCTCTGTGAAAAGAATGGGATGAGAGTCCATGCTTGGATTGCCTCTCTTTCTGTAAAGAAATGCTGGAAGACCGTGTTAGAAACTAAAACTTGGACTCCAGAAGACGGAGAAGGCCGTGGGAATGAAAGAAAAGAAATAAGGGGTAAAGTTGTTTTCATAATACCCTGGTTCATATTTTGAAGTTGTGAGCCATGTGCTATATTACCTGTTCATAAAAGTAAATGAAAAACTGTGGGTAATTACCATATAAGAAGAGGTAATTATAACCAAAACCAAAATTATACCCTGAGTACCACAATCACACCCTAGGATAAAAGATGTGTTTTAGATTTTATGTTGACATTTGGGTGTGTACT